TAATGCCTCAATCACATATTTAAAGGCTGTTATGTTTTTATAAATGAATGAACATTGACATTTTATTGTTTTAAAATCCGAATATACATTTAAACTAGTTTAAAAATACTATTATTATTAATTTTTAATTAAACTTTAAATTCAATTTATTTCAATTCTAAATTCAAAGCGTTTACTATCACCAAATGCAAGATAACGTACAATCTAAAATAATTTCATACCCTTAATTTATATAACGTAGTATTGTTTAAGGGCAGGGGACACAATTAGAAAGGGGAAATTACTAAGAAGTTAAAGTATATTAAAAAGGCTTCCTTTAATTAAATGATGTTCTGTTTTTTTTGGGACCTGTGAAAGGAGTCTATAGTCATTTCAAACATAGTATTGCACGAATGGAAACATAGAGCATATGGACATTTTTCAGTATTTTGATCTATCACCATACTACCGACAAAATTCTTTAAATAAAATTTCAGAATTAATCAAACTTATTGGGTTTTTTTTTTTGTTTTTTTGTTTTTTTTTGTGGTTATCAAACTTATTGGTTAACCAATAGCTACTCATTTTGTGTCATTTATAGTCTTAATTGACTCAGCAAGGGGTAAGTTCGTACAAGTTGAACTTTTTCTTCTCTTAGATTCCTCCAGGCTGATGCTGATAAAGAAAATGACTTTCACAATAAACAACATGGACAAAATAAGCCTTCTTTTCAATTAATATTAAAGGACACATAACATTGTAAAGAATGATACAAACATAAAAATTATTATTAATATTTTAAAAGTTTAAACAAATGTGCACACACTATAATTGCTAGTTCGATATTCAACTTTTTATTTTACAAAAAAATAAAAAAATAAAAAAATAATGGACTAATGTTACTTGATAATTAAAAAAAAAAAAATAGACAAAAAAAAAATTCATTGTATACTTGTTAAAAAGTACAGTGGATATACTACGAATTTTTTTTTATTTTTATTATTTTTTTTACTTACCCTAAAAAAAAGTCAAGTGGAGTTTTTTTTTTTTTTTTTTTTTTTTTTTAACTTACCCTAAAAAAAAGTACAGTGGATATTAGAGTTTTATTCTTTAAATTTTGGTTGTAGTACAAAGAGATCATTGTACAAGTACATAAAAGTCTTTAAGAACTATGGTTACAGTACAAATAGATCCTTCTCCATTTTAAAACTGAATTTGTTGGTTCCGGGTACATTTAATTTAGTTTATTTTCTTTACTTTTATGCTTATTTAGTTTTTTGGTCTCATTCCATTTTTTTATTTTTTGTTCGGAATAACAAAAAAAAAAAAAAAACCTGGATCACATGTAAATGAAGTTGTACTGTACAAAGTAGTTGAACCGATCAACGTCCATATTCATATATGAATTGGGTGCAGCAAGTTCATAAGTTTATTGTGACAATTGTGTCACGAAAATGGTGTACGTTTTTTAGTTAGTAAAGTGGTTGGTGGATGATGTTAGTCATGTATGACATTTTTTTCTTTTCTTTATCTTCAAGAGGAGTATTGGATTTGTTTTGCTACAGAGAGTTAACTTATGGCTGAAGTTACTTGATTTGGTTTGAAAATATTTTTTTATCTTTCAAATTCATGAATAATATCATAAGCCCCATATCTCATCTACCCCACTCAGAAAATTTATCAATACCATGTCTCTTGCTTTGAATTGTATAATATTTATATGACTACTTTTCCTATTTGCATGTGAATGTCATTTCCATTCTTCTTCATTTCCTCATTATTTCTGTTACGTTTTTGTAAACACAAATTTCGTATATGTAAATTAAAAAATAAAAAACGAAAGATAGGGCAAATAATAATTTATTGGTTTATGAAAATTGAGGAGTACAATCTTTTGAAATATTCTTTACAAAAGAAAAAAAGTTTCCTCTTATTTGATTTCCTTTGTTGGTTGGATACAAGGGCTGTTGGAGTTTGATTTTTAATTGGACTGTTAACAATTTTCTTTACGTATTTGTAGTTGAGGAAGACCACTGATGATTTCTGATCGAGGGATGACAAAGTTTGATCTCGTGCAATGTTGTTTAGTGATTTTTCAAACTTGTTGAATCACGAAAAAAAAGACCGGCACGATTTTGATATGCTTGTTGTTCTTTGTTAAATTTGAAAAAGAACGACACGATTTTGGATATGTTTGTTATTTTTCGTATTTAGAGAATTTGTTGAATTTTTTTAAGAACGGCACGATTTTGAATGTGCTTGTTGCCCTTCTTCTTCAAAGTTTGGATGTTGGGGATGAATTCGGCAGAGAGATTTATGCTCCTTAGGTTGTTTGTGTCTCTCAATTTCTGGACTCAAATTTCTGCACCCCTTCCTCCTTTCTCCATGCTTCTATTTTTAGATAGGATGATGAAATGTATCCTTTCTTGATAAGGACATAATTATAACTGGGCCGGACTGATTATATTGTAATAATTATCTATAAAAATAATTGTTTTTTTATTTAATAAACTGGACTCGACTAATTAAATAATTTAAATTGATAAAATTTTAGTAAATTAAATAATTTAATTAAACATGATATCCATATTTAATAGACCAATTTATCAAGACAAAAGCTAATAAAATTTTAGCAAATTTTAGCGCCTACAGTTTTCAATTTCCATTCATTTCAAATTAATGTGTGTTTTCAATCGATAGATCCATTTTCAGTGTGCTCATTGTTATTAATTGGCTTGTCATTTTCTTTCCTTATCTATCAATTTGTTAATTATTAGAAGTGACCCTTGTTAACTGTTATTCAACATAAATTTTGTTGCGGAATCCACCACTAGTCAAACTAGTAAACCAATATTTAAAAGTAATATAAAAAAACATAAATTAAGAAAAATTGCAAAGAAACTATAGGCAGCCCATTGCTTATTTCTATAGAAAAATTATTAATTACAACATCAGAAAGTCATAGTTAATGTTATAAAAGTCTGAAAAGTGAGAAATTATATTTAGTTAAGTCCGTCTCAGACCAATCATTATATGAAAAATAATTCTTAGTATTCGATTATTACCTTTTAGTATTCCCTCTGTTCTAAAAAAGATATTCTGTTTGTGGAACCGTGACATGACATCTTTTTTAGAATAGAGGGAATATTAAAAAGCAACAATCGAATACTTAAAATCACGGTTCGCCAAATAGGACATCTAATTTGGGGTGGAGGTAATAATTTTTATAAACAAGAGGAGTCGGATTCCTATGTTGTACAACAAAGACATTTGAAATCAATGATGTTAGCATGCTAAGTATCCCTTTTTATAAAAACTAAATCCCAAAATTTAATTTAATGAAATTAATTTCAATATATGTATAATTTATGAGCCACATACCATATATAGTTGCTATATCCTGGAATGTGGCTATGAATACTCTACTAAAATTCCAAATAATTGATGATCAAATCGGCCAGTATGGGACTAAAGGATGGATATGTTACTTAATGGAATGTCCATTAGCTCATATGTGTATCACATTTCTGGGTCTCTGACTAATTTATTTATTTATTTATTATTATTTTTTTCAAAGTCTACAGCTAATTTATTCACACACAACAACATGATAATTTTGACTTTGTTTTGTCTAAACATTGCGTGACAATACAAGCCTATCAATAAATTGGAAAAATAAGAAACAATCATAAAAAGCTACGCATGCTTTATTGATAAAAGTTAATCACTTCAGAGTTTCGTTAGTTAAAAAAATCTTTTTATAAATGTCTTTAAATTTTGACATGTCATAACTCATGACATTATACGATGAGATTTACTCTTTCCACTAACATTTTAAGTTAGAATGTTCCATCATTGCTCAATCAAATTGAGTATTGCTCTATCAAATTGAGTATTACTCAATTGTTTAGTTTGTATAATGTTCAGCTTTCCGTACGAGTATGTCTGGATTAGAGTCCCCTCTAATAGCTTGTCAAATATATATATATATATATGTAAAGCTGTGCAAGTTCAGGCAAGGGCCCATATGTGTTGGGTGAGATATGTGGTTTGACGACCCACCCAAATGGCGTCTCTCTTGGTCCCAAATCCTTCATAAATGGGCTTAAAACACCAAACTCGGTCCATTCAAAAGTGTTCAATCTGAATGCAACGTGAATAAAGTGCATATTCACACTTCTTTCATTCCATGTATGACTTGAATCGACTTCTTTCAACCCGGTGACTTATAACTTCTTATAGATACTTGTTACCTCAAATTTTATTTTTTATAGATACATAATTTTATTGACTATTTTTCAAGCAAATGGCACACAAATAATTTGGTTAATCAATTTTTTTTTTTTTTTTTGGAATTCGGTTAATCAATTGAATTTGGTTAATCAATTGGATATAATATGTATATATATTTTTAACACTTCACTTAAATTATTTTTTTTTTCTCTTTCTTTTCTCTACCAATCTTGAAACTTTAATCTAGAGATTGAGAATAAATACTCAAATTTTTTAGTAGAAAGGAAAATCAATACTTTTTTTTTTTAAATAATAAAATTTCATTAATTTTATAGTACCGGTCAATAGTATGGGATATTTTTGATTGATGGATGTAACACCGATGAATTTTATGTGCTGGATTACAATTAATTCTCAAAGGCAATTGAAAAAGAAGTTTGTTTAATTTTCATTTCTGATTGACTGAGAAACATATGAAGAAAAAGAAAAAGAAAAAGGAAAAAAAAAGTCTATGAACTGTAGAAAATAATGCTAATCTTTATTTTATTTGTTTTTTTATTTTCCAAGTTTTCGAAAGTGACTACCATAAAAAAAAAAATAAAAAAAAAAAAATGCTGAGAGTTGTTGACTCGGACGATTCCTGCAGTAAACTGAGAGAACCCAGTAAACCCCGGTCCCACTCGGGCCACACCTCTCAGAACTAAAATAAATCACATATTTCCATTTCTATCTCCCATTCCCAAACTTTTTCGTTGTCGTTTTTTCGAGTTACATTCTTTTTCCTCTGGCCACTGTATATATTACGCGTCACCGGAATAGACCATCGATATATAGACAAATTTATAAAACGATATAGTGCCTTTTTGAGGTGGTTTTAGTGGCAGTCTCTCTCCATTTGATCATCGTGTGAAAGTATAGTAGCAGTATAAAAAATGTGTATAGGAATTTGAACAAACTTTGGGTCTTCTTCGGTCCCCTCTCCATCTATGTCGTCCATTGTCTCTCTGCAATAAACTTGTCCCTTTCTCCCTTTTTCTCTCTCTACATTCTTTCTCACCCTACAGCGGCACCGCGTATATGTCTTTTCGCATAGATTCTGGACGCGTGCGACGACTTCACTCCTTCAAAAATTCTCCGAACCAGAGTGCTCTCTCTCGAGCCTCTCCTCTCCTCATCATCATTAATCAGTCCTCACATTGCCAAAGTTTTTTCAATTTGAATTTCAAGTTTTGGAATCAATGAGAGGATTCGCGAGGCATGAGCGCCGGTGGGCGTCAGACTCCGTTCCAGGCAAACAGGTGAGCGGCGGATCTTCGCCGGGAACTGAAGCCGGATCGGCGGCGGAGGAGTTCGTCGAAGTCACGCTAGATCTTCAAGACGACGACACAATCGTGCTGCGCAGTGTCGAACCGGCGACGATCATCAACGTCGATCACGAGGTCTTCGCCGGAGGGACGGAGACTCCAGGTTCGGCGTCGACGTCGTTGTCGCGGTCACCGACGATGCGACGGAGTTCGTCGAATCGTCTCCTTCAGTTCTCTCAGGAACTGAAAGCAGAGGCGGTGGCGAAAGCGAGGCATTTCTCTCAAGAGTTGAAGGCTGAGCTGAAGAGGTTTTCGTGGAGTCACGGACATTCGTCGCGTTCGCCGTCGTCTTCCTCATTTGCGTTTCCCAACGGTGTTGTCCGAGGGAGTGGTGCTTTGGACTCTGCTTTGGCCGCTCGAGCACTCCGTCAACGGCAAGCTCAGCTCGATCGGACTCGTTCCGGTGCTCAGAAAGCTCTTCAAGGCCTCAGATTCATTAGCAATTGTAAAACGAACCGTGTCGATGCCTGGAACGAAGTTCAGAACAATTTCTACAAACTTGCCAAAGACGGCCTTCTCTATCGTTCCGATTTCGGACAATGCATAGGTGTTGTTAATTAACTTTAATTACAATAGTTACAGTTCTTGATTAATTTCATGGTTTTTTAGTATTAAGATGTGATTGAAATGTGTTTAAATTTTAGGAATGAAAGATTCGAAAGAATTTGCATTGGAATTGTTTGATGCTCTGAGTAGACAGCGGAGATTGAAGGTTGACAAGATCAGTAGAGATGAACTTTATGAGTTTTGGTCTCAAATTACCGATCAGAGCTTCGATTCTCGACTGCAGATATTCTTCGACATGTATGCTTTAATTAATTAAATAATATTAAGTAAATTATATATACTTAATTTTTAGTACCTAAGTCTCAGAAAACCATGTTTACAGCCTACTTTTTTTTTACCTTCTAAACAGGGTTGACAAGAATGAGGATGGCAGGATCACGGAAGAGGAAGTTAAAGAGGTCTATGCTGTTTAATTCATATTATCATCTCTCTCATATTTTAAAATTAATTTAGTGTAACGAGTTTTATTAATTTAAAATCTGAACAAATTAAGATGAGGAAGCGTACAGTCTGTAAGATTCCGGTGATATAAAAAATGGGAGCGCTGACTATTTTCCGGTAAAACACTTATGCATACATGATTTGATATATATATATATATATATATATATATATATATATATATATATAGGAGAGCCAGGATGGCAACGGGGCGGGACGGGAATTCCATTCCCCATCTCTATTCAGAATAAAATTTTCAATCCTCATCCCCACCCCACCCCCCATTCCTGCTTAAAATGTCGTCACCATCCCCATACCCGTCCCAACCCGACCCTGACTCCTTAGCCCCAGCCCCAGACCCCATAATTTTTTAATTAAACAAAACACATTTTGTTTATTTTTATTTATATATGTATATACTAAATCTAATTTAAGAATAAATTATTATATGTAAGAGTATATTAGTAACTCCATATCTAATTGGGGCGGGACGGGTTTAGCCATCCCCACCTCGGTGAGGATTCATAATTTGCCTCCATGGACGTTTTCCTTTAGCTTAGCTAAAAGGATTCCTATTCCCACTATAAACGGGACGGCCTTGGGAGGGATGGGGATGGCTAAAAATTGTGGGAGACAATTACTGAAAAAATTTATGGATTTTTTATTTCTTTATTTTCTATATTTCATTCATCCTTGTGGTTATAGCTTACGGGGTATGGATTAGGTTAAAATAATCAACGGTAGGCGTGATTCGGTGACCTTGAATCAGAAAAATTCCAAAACCAACGACTCCAATATATCTAATACGTGATCTGAGTTTTTTCATTGTCTGACGTTTTCCCATGTCCTGTAACGCCTTATCTATTAGGTGAAGGTCCATTGCAAAAAGAAAACACTTGTCTAAATTCTATATTGTGTGAAAGACGCAATTTTAAAAAATATTGAACATAACTACTTAGTTGACTGCTACAATATAGCCGTTAATTACATAAATACCCTTATATTTTTATGTAAACTGTATATTCGATTTTACTGATATTTAGGAATTTAACAAATTTCATATTGCCATTCTTTAAATTGACATTTTCGTGCGAAATTGCTGTGGGCTTTTTGGTCTATTTATTATTCATACATATATCGTTGATTTTTCTTTTTTCTTTTACCTATTTGAAGGATATTCTAACCCTTTGGGCATCTTTATTCCTGATTCTCATTACAAGTACATAGAAATGATGTAAACACTAGTCCAAAAAAGGAAAATAAAATAAAGGACCTCTGTTTAATTGAAACTCAAATCTTCAATTACCAAAAATAGAAAATGAAATCTTATGCTTTAGAGCATGGGTGCACAAAAGATCCAATCTTAACTCAGCTAGTCCCTAGCATGTTTTTCTACTCTTTGAAATAAATTGTTCTACCCACCTCATGACGTTATTATTAAGAAAAAATTTCAGCTTGTCAATGTCAAAACAAAGTAGTCAATACACATGAAAGTAAATTCAGATAACATCACGTGAAACATGACGGTGTCAGACTTCTAAGAGTATTCGATAATTCACTTGCAATCGGTTACTTCTTTTATTCACCATTATTTTAGTCACTAACTTTAATTCGCTTGGGGTGACATTTCTCCATTAATAGTGTCTTCTTGCAATTTAGCGTTACACGAAAAATAATGTATTTTTATCTTTATAAATGTGTAGATCATAATGCTAAGTGCTGCTGCCAATAAGTTATCAAGATTGAAGGAACAGGCGGAGGAGTACGCAGCTCTGATCATGGAAGAGTTAGATCCTGAAAGGCTTGGCTACATTGAGGTGATATTTTTGTTATTTGCATGCTATTTTAATTCTAATTTATATATAGCTTCACGCATAGAGAATTATTTAGAATTCCTTATAATTAAAGGTTGTTGAGCACTAGACACAAAATAGTCACTGTCAATCTTCATACAATTGAGCATGGGTTACCGCGTTGTTCAACAGTACACGAAACAATAAATAGTAAATTCCCAAACTGATAAATTTTAAAATGAATATATATAACATGGCATATCTCACTTGGCTGACAGGAGGATTGGCCTGTTTTTGGCAAATTTAGAAGACGCTAAGCATTTGCTGCTTGAATTAAATACATTATCAATGTTAGGAACTATCATAGAAACTTACAGTCCAATTGTCTGCATTATTTTATCACGTCTATAATGTAGACTGAGAATGGATCTCAAAAATTAGCTTTCCAGTTAATTTCATCTTATATTAAAAATAGATTTATCAATGAATTTCAATTGTGGTTGTTAATTATTAGAAAGTATGTGAAAATTGCTCTTCTTTCATATAGAATATATTGACGGTGTCAATATCAACAAACTTTTTGCTCACGCACTCGCGTGCTTATACGAAGACTTGTTACTTGTTAGACATGGATTTTAAACTCTCCATTATCAGTCTTGAAGGTGAGAAGCTGCCACTAAATAAATAAAGTTCTTAGTAGTGATGATGTTAGTTCAAAGCTCACCAAATACTACTTTCTTACTTGTTAGACATGGATTTTAACTTTTATATTAAAATAATCAGAATGCGCGTATTCAGCACTCATGCACCACCTTAGACACTGTTGAGTTCCCCACGTGGACTTGTGTTTGCAACTCAATGCGCGTATTCAGTGCACAATTGTCAATTATACACACACATCAATGGTCGGTGATAGAGTATACGACTAACTTGTGGTTATTTTGTTGGATTGCAATGGTGTTGGTGATAATGCAGCTATGGCAGCTAGAGACACTACTGTTACAGAAAGACACCTACCTAAACTACAGTCAAGCGCTGAGCTACACGAGCCAAGCCTTGAGCCAAAACCTACAGGGGCTGAGAAGGAGAAGCCCGATACGAAGGATGAGCACACAACTCATGTACTACCTAGAAGAGAACTGGAGGAGAATTTGGGTTCTGTGCTTGTGGGTTATGATAATGGTTGGGTTGTTCACGTGGAAGTTCTTTCAGTACAAGCAGAAGAATGCATTCCAAATCATGGGTTATTGCCTGCTAACGGCTAAAGGCGCAGCTGAGACTCTGAAATTCAACATGGCTCTCATCTTATTGCCTGTTTGCAGGAACATCATTACCTGGCTGAGGTCCACCAAGTTGGGTTATTTTGTGCCCTTTGATGATAACATCAACTTTCACAAGGTACAAACTCTTCTTCCTACCTCCACGTTACTATTAGGATACTAGTAATATTTTGATTCTTGAAGAACCACTGGTGGGCCCACACTACCACAGGCGTGGATCCCACCAGCGGGGTCCGCTTAGGTTTCTAATACATTCTACCTCTTGGCTCCATATATGTGACTTCTAATTACAAAGTCAGCCCCAATAATTTGATTTCAGCTATCACTCAAAAAGTCCGATTAGCTTTTTACACCTTACACACTTATTTGTTTCAAGAGTTGTAAAACTCTTTGCCTTCGTAGGAGTTGGGAGGTATAACCACCAGGACGAAGAGTCTAGTTAACTTGTAGGTCAAACTCTTTACCAGGAGGTGTTCTGATTGAACTTGTTCACTTGTACAATTAGTAGAGCACCAGTATAGTGTATGTTGTAATTTATAGAAGGAACTTAGTGGTTGATCCTTCTACTTCCACCAAAAAGAAAAAGAAAAAGTGAGTGACTACCAATAATTCTTGAGTGACACATACACAAGAGGAAAGGCAATAGCTGGCCTTCAATCATTTAAAAACTACTGTTTGCGTAGGTAAGAAGATAAGCTTAAATACAAATGCTTTATGGGACTAAAAATGAAGGCTAAATTAGGAACTTCCTGAAAGGTTGAAACCACAACATCACAATCGAGATATCGTCAATCATGTTACTAAACCTATTACTATTGTAGGCAATTCATACATCGTCTGTCCCAACAGAAGATTCCGTTAGGTCCCACAGAGTCACGCCCTCTTCCATTAAGGTTCCTTAATGCTTCATAGTTGACAAATTGCAGCTACCACTTGGTGCGCATTGGTTTCCAAACATCTTTCTCTTTTCATTTTTTGTTCTTTTCTTTAGGACCAAAAGTGTTATGCTTGAAAATGACGGGTTTACTTTGATGTATGCTAGAAGATTTTCAGCATCGTTGTTAGGTTATTTGGTTATGTTAATATAGTACAACTTTAAAAAAATAAAATAAAATAAAATAAAATTCACAACAGAAAATAATTAATATCTTGTCTATGTTGCTCTGCATGCTGCAATATCTTATCTTTTGATGTAATCTTGGCAATCACATTAATGAGTTCAACTAAAGATGATATGGTTCTTATCTTTAAATTTGAGAATTATTTGAAGTAGTGTGGTAAGAGGTTTCTAATTTTGTTTGATCGATAAATAGTCTAGATATTGTGATTTAGACTTAACCAAATGATTTCCTGGCCAAAAATAAGAAAAAAAAACAAAAATATAAACATTTAATGAATTGGACAAAGTACATGACAATCACAGCCGGATCAGCAATTGCAATAGTGAGATAGCTCAACTCAAATGACTAAATGATTGATAGAGGTCCCGATACATGTTTCTATACATCTAAATTCTAGTGTCAGTCCATTGAAAGGTCTTTTAACTCTGTAAAATCAGATTAATGATGTCAGTTAATTGTGAGACATATCTAAATTAGTTTCATCTTCTCTTTTTTTGGTTAATGCGTCATTGCAGACAATTGCTGCTGCAATAGTAATTGGTGTCATACTCCATGCTGGGAACCACCTGGCTTGTGATTTTCCAAGGCTTATAAATGAGTCTGAAAAAGACTACGAGACTTACTTTGGTGAAGATTTTGGCTCTCATAAACCCACGTACACGGACCTGGTTCAAGGGGTTGAGGGTGTGACTGGAATTTTAATGGTGATCTTGATGACAGTTGCTTTCACACTTGCAACGCGCTGGTTCAGGAGGAGCCTTATTAAGCTGCCCAAGCCCCTTGATAGGCTCACTGGCTTCAATGCTTTTTGGTATTCACACCACTTGTTTGTCATTGTCTATATCTTGCTCGTCATCCATGGAATGTTTCTCTATCTCGTGCACGAATGGTACTTAAAGACGGTATAATTTTGAAACCTTTTTACCTTCCTTCATGGAAATCTCACTACTTTCAAGTGTTGTTGATTTCATTTGGTCTAAAGTACGAATTTTGTGCTCGCAGACGTGGATGTTTCTTGCTGTTCCTGTTCTCCTATATGCAGGGGAGAGAACCCTGAGATTCTTTCGTTCTGGCCTTTACACTGTCCGGCTTCTAAAGGTGAGTGTAATGTACTATAGCAATTCTGCCACAGTAAAGTTTGGGTATGCAAATATTCGTTGAATTCATGTTCTGGTTACCAATGTTCTTCAAATGAAGACACAGAGTTCAAACAGCTGAGACGTTTGTCAAGTTATTGTTTGGAATAATTCAAGATTGACTTGTTACAAGATTTAACGCATTGTTTTATTGACTTCTGCCATTCTCAGGTTGCTATCTATCATGGAAATGTTCTCACACTGCAAATGTCGAAGCCTCCCCAATTTCGGTACAAGAGTGGGCAGTACATGTTTGTCCAGTGCCCTGCTGTTTCTCCATTTGAATGGTAAATTACAATTAACATCCCTCATGTCAAAATAAATTTTACTTATGGAGAAACCTTCGGCTGCGTCAGTGTAACTGTTATCATAAAAAATATTGGTTTCCACTTAATGTTGGCAATCCAATTCCGTGCTGGTAGCCATTGGGTAAAATGTTGATGAACTCAAACTGCATAGATTTAAAAATCAAATCGATTTCTTTCGTGCTTTTAATAAATCTATTTACAGAAGACAAAAGGTGGTAATGGTTAATTGAACTCAAATTTAAATTATTGAACTGGTCTTGCAATAGTCTTGTATGGTCAAGAGTAACTTTTAAAGTTCATTCTAACCAAATTGATCAGGTTAATTGTACAAGACTTGCAACTGTCATACCAGTTTTTATTTTCATTTAAAATCTTCAATGCAAAGCTCCTTTTAGCCATTGTTCTTTTTCGTTTTCCTATATATTCTAATTTATGGGTGGTTAATTCTGGTTTTCGATGAATTATACCTCAGGCATCCATTTTCCATTACCTCAGCCCCTGGTGATGACTACCTTAGCATTCACATCCGGCAGCTAGGCGACTGGACTCAAGAGCTTAAGAGGGTATTCTCAGAGGCCTGTGAAGCTCCAGTTGCTGGGAAAAGTGGGCTTCTCAGGGCTGATGAAACAACCAAAAAGAGGTAAATTTCATGTACGAGTGTATTTTTGGTCAAATTTAGCCTTTTTCTCTTGATCATTCACATTGGAATTGTTATCTGAGACACTTTGTTGGATATCAGTTTGCCAAAGCTCTTAATAGATGGACCTTATGGAGCTCCAGCACAAGATTACCGGAAATATGATGTCCTTCTACTTGTTGGTCTTGGGATTGGAGCAACACCTTTTATCAGTATACTGAAAGATTTGCTCAACAACATCCTCAAAATGGAGGAGCTGGCAGTAAGTACCATAACAGAGAAATCCTCGAGTCCATTATATTTTTACAGTTCTTTTCAACTGTTCATTTGATCTTCCGCATAGAATTTTTAATGATGATAACCACAATAATAGAGAAAGCACAATAACAATGCTGTTTTTGACCTTTCAGGATTCGATATCAGATTTAAGCAACCAGGGTGCGGGGACTACTGATTCACCCTCTGCCAACAAGACCTCTCCACGAAAGAAAACACTGAAGACCACCAACGCATACTTCTATTGGGTAACCAGGGAACAAGGCTCATTTGATTGGTTCAAAGGGGTTATGAATGAAGTTGCTGAACTTGATCAAAGGGTAAGTTGTAAGGATATATTTGTTCTTTGATTGTTATATATATATATATATATATATATATTGTTTCCTGAGTAGTTTGATTATTAACATCCCCATTGTGGAAACAGGGTGTTATTGAAATGCACAACTATTTGACCAGTGTTTACGAAGAAGGGGATGCCAGATCGGCCCTCATCACCATGGTCCAAGCACTAAACCATGCCAAGAACGGGGTTGATATTGTGTCTGGCACTAGGGTAAGATTGATGTCTCTCTCCCCCTTTCAACGTCTCATAAATCAACCCCTCTTTAAGGCCACGCCAAACAACATCCTTTATTCAACAAAGGCCGCTATAGCATTAGTGGCTCCAAATTCCAATATGCTAATGATAACAAATTCTCTAGATATAATGTTTTATGCGGATGGTCTATAAAGATTTACAACTTAATGTTGGCGTGGAACTCTTTTCATAGACTAAACATGTTTATATCATTTATGGATTCTGTTGTTAGGTGCGAACACATTTTGCAAGGCCTAATTGGAAGAAGGTTTTCTCTAAAACGTGTACCAAGCACGCTAATGCAAGGATAGGTTAGTCTCATCAGTCTCCATCAGAATCACAAGTGATGAAATTATATACTTTTTTTCTTTTTTTATTTTATTTTTAATATTACTATCTTGGCTTTGGTGTTTTGGAACAGGAGTTTTTTACTGCGGGGCACCGGTTTTGGCAAAAGAACTCGGCAAACTCTGCTATGAGTTTAATCAGAAAGGTTCCACCAAGTTTGAATTCCATAAGGAGCATTTTTGAAGGACTCAGAGACACACATACACACACACATATATATACACCTACTACAGATGCATTTTACTGCAGAAAACCATTGAGTCACACTCAGCCCCAACACCTTCATTTGTTTACATGATCAGAATTTAGTGTAATGCAGCAAACATATATTTTTTTCATGAAAAAAAAAAAAAAAACAAAAAAGGCAAAAGAGCAGGAGGCATTGTACATAGGACAAAGGAAAGGGTAAAATGTAAGTACACAAATAGTACATTTTTGTTGTAGTACCAAAGAAATGGTTCTGGTTAGTGAGATGGGGTTGGACATGAAAGGCAAGTAAGAAGAGGTAGCAGTGGGACCCAAGTGCGTTACAGCTAAACGAGGTTGACCTAGCTGATTGATGCTGATGTGGTCAAGTATGATTGTTCACTGGTGGGGTAGGTCTTAGTGGGACTCTGCAGTTGGTGTAGACAGACACCTTGTTTGATCCAACTCTTCCAAGTTTTTTTTGAAGTGGGCCCAGAGAAGACTTCTAGAATAACGACCATTTTTATCTTTATTTTACCACTACTATGTAAATGAAATTCATACTCCAATATTATTTTCTTTTCCACTTCAATTTAGTCATATATATATATGATATATGTAAGGAATATTGGTAATTATCTTATACAAGGTTTTGAGCATAATTCCCTGGGACTTGAACGAGTATACCATCTTTTATATTGGATGTAGAATGATTCTCATGCGCTTTTTATCTTTCAGTGGTATATTTGTTATCGTACTAACAGGATACACAATTTGAATAAAATTGTGATGGTTTCTTTTAATAATGTTGTTTGTTACCTATCGAAACTTGTCCCGGACCAATTATGTGCCAACACTTGTAAACGTAATTATTATTTTTTTTGTTTGTGTGTATGTGTTAATATATGATTGGATGGGACCAATTGTCCCAAACCATATACTAATAGTTTATCCCTCTATAAAGGCACTGATGAAAACCATGATATTGGAAGCCCATGCAGTCACTCTGCTTGATTTTATCCGAGAGATATTGGAATGTGAGATATTCATATTAAAAAATTAGAGTTTTTAACGAACATGTAGCTAATGCATTATTTCTTTTTAATTTAGATAAGTATAATTATTAAATTTAAATTTTTTAAAAATATAAAGAATAATAATGGAAAGATAAGGTTTATTTACTCTAATTTTTTAAAGTGGAAAACTAATTTAAAATATTTAAAAATGAGATAGTAGATTATTAATACGGGACAAAGGTAATATTAATTTTAAATGATTAAGCAAATTTGTGAATTATTATTGTGGTGCTAGTTACCGTTGGCCTTTCAGATCTGATTTTTATTTTTGTTACATTGCCAACATCAAGAAGATTTGACGTACCTAAGAATAGAAGCAAACAAATTTTTAGATGTGATTATTCTTAAACATAATTTGAGTTTGGTGTGGTCGAATGATATAAATTGAAAATGGAATAAATCAAAGAATGAAATGGAAATGGAATGAAAATGTAATGATCATTTTCATTCTCATGTTTGGTTGATCATATTTTTGTAAAACCTATATATATATATATATATATATATATACATGTACCCGACGTTTCCTCAAACGTTTTATTTATTTATTTATTTTAAGTTGGAATGGAATGGCCCTTCCTTTAGTTAGAAAGTGAAATGAATTAGTGAAAATCACCATTTTCGAAGAATTGGCAGGAATCACCATTCCAATTTTAAAATTAGTTACCAAACTAAAGAATGGAAACAAAAACATTCCATTTCTGTTTTATTTGATTTCATTCACTCACACCATACATAGCACAAGTACTTTTCATTTATTTATGCTAATTATTCTACAATGTATATAATAATTTTGATCCCACCAGGTCTATATTGTTACAAATTAATTCCTATATATCTAAATCTGAATTATAACAAAATTGTGATTTAAGGTTCTAATATATATATAATTATTTATTTATTGTCATTGGTAAGAAATTCACATACTCACTTTGCTTAAACTTGAACACTGTGATGGCCCTCGTTACCACCTGTGATGGCCCTGGGCATTACATGGCCGAATAGAAAACTTGATTTTAAGGGGGATTTATTCTTTGTGTTTTTACAAAAAAATTCGTTTTAGCCTCTGAATTAGCTCTCAGTTTCGAAAATTTTAGGAAAATGTGCACAGTAACTTTTTGGGCTGCTATAAACCATGTGCGCGCACACTGGGCTTTCCTTTGCGCACATTGCACTGATGCGCGGGCGCATGAAGGGGGCTACTTTGTGCCCTCTCTGCCTATTCGACATCCAATTTTCAAATGGTGTTTCTCCTTCATCCGAACTCCGTTTTTTGCTATTTTTGAGCCTAACTTGACTGATTTTTCATCATCTATCCAATAGTGTACTCGATTGCGCTTGTATCTTTTTGAAAAATTACCAATTTGCCCCTAGGGCTTTAATTGTCCATTTTTCGTCATTAGGCCATATCTTCTTCATCCGGATTCCGAATTAAGCGATTTTTGAGTCTAATGGTGTGCTTGGTAGCACCCAAATTTTTTTGAAATTACCATTTTTCCCTTGGAGCTAAACTTTTCCGTTTTCCTTTTTAAATTGCTTTTGCTTTGCTTTCTTTTGAGTTCCGTGACTTCATAGGAAATCACGGATGTGTCTTGGGAATGATCTACATTTCCAGAGACGTTACTTCTATATAAAAAAACTATTTTGCCCTTGGGGGGCTTGTTTGGTCTTTTTTTAATCTTTTCTTCCGCGTTGGTTCTTGTGGAGTTCCGTGGCCTCATGGAAGATCACTTTGGTGTCTTAGAGACGTTTTGTATCTCTAGAGACTTATTTTCTGTTTTCGCTTTCGCATTTCAGATTCGTTATCGGGTCAAATTTCGATTCATCACAGGACGCACTGACTTGAAAAACCAGAGCCGTCACAAACCCTCACCATCCACTTTGGGAGGTTGAAAAGATACTATTGGGCAGAAAGCATGTTAAGACTATTTGTATAAATTTCTTTTCATTGGAGGTATATTAAATTTAAAAGAAAAGCTTTGGGAATTATATTTATTTATTTTTTCTGATAGGTTCATATTTTTATATCAACCTTGAGGAACATTGGTGCCCAATTTTAGTTGGGGCATTCATGCCTGAGCTCAATTCAATTAGTATCTTTATTCTCGCAAAAAATAAGTACTACGAAATGAATCACTAATATGAAATAGAAGTAGTATATTAGAGATAAAATATAATGCAAATTCTGTTCAGTGGGGTATCTTTTGTTTGAAAATTTTAGGTTTTGGATGAGAAAAAGATATTGGATCTAATAAAACTAAGCCAAGCAATATATAAACATCGTTACAGGCACCCGCACAATTACATATATGTAAATGAAAAAAAAAAAAAAAACCTAATAACTTAACTATTCATGATTGAATGGCTATTCCAATAATTCATCTCTTAAAATATTGTATTTGATTTTTAAATATCTAAAAAGCCTTCACCAAAAAACATTAGAACGATCAAACATGTAAAGTAATGGGCCAGTGTAACAAGGGTCATTTGTCCTACATTGAAATCGGATGGAAAAGTGACTGGGTATAAATGGGTGGGTATGTAGCACTACCCAATAGTTCGAGCTTTTGGGTAAATGGGTAAGCGCCCATCCGTTACAGTTGGTATCAGAGCCAGACCCAGTCCTTGATCCGGTGTCACGCCAAGCACCCGGCCCGGAAGGCGTCCGGGCTAGCACCTCGGGTAGGCAGAGTGGCACGAACAGCAACGAGGGCGTTGCGAGTTTGGGTGAGGGAGAATGTAACAAGGGTCATTTGTCCCATATCGGAATCGAATGGAAAAGTGATTGGGTATAAATGGATGGGTATGTAGCACTACCCAATAATTCGAGTTTTTGGGTAAATGAGCAAGCGCCCACCTGTTACAGCCAGTCATTATATTAGTTTATTGTAAATGTGGCCTTGTTGTTGCTTATTTAGTAATTAAGACAAAAATGTTAAACAAATTATTGTAGTGTCACATGCTTAATCAGATTTGAATTGATCTCATGTCCATAAGTTAGCTACAACTTATTCCATTAATCTTTGTTTTAGCAATCTCAGTAGTTGGTGGCTGGTAGGGAGTAGGGATTCCCCCGATAATGTGTGTGTGTGTATGTGTGTATATATATTTATATACAGAGAGAGATAGAGAGAGAGAGAGAGAGAGAGAGAGTTGGTGGTAAATGCACTACATAAAGGGGGTTCATGCATACGACTGGTAATTAGTAGGGTTTGATTTTTCTAATGAACCTAATACATCTTGAGAGAACAATGATTGATTTAACTTTAAAAAAAAAAAAAAAACAATGATTGAAAGTTTGAAACATGTGATTTGGGCTGTTATTGTGTAAATTAATTAAACAACTCAATTGTCGGTTAAATAGCATTTTTATAAACAAATTTATTCTTTGTTTATATAAAGAGATGAGTGTAATACATGTTGAGATCGAGTACAATGATTGATTCATGTGATTTAGGCTATTAATTGTGTAAATTAATTAAACAATTCAGTAGTCGGTTACAGACAAGTTTTTGACACCTCCGAAATTCAAAGATCTGGGCCTTATTGAATTAACACAACACAAAAAACAAATAGCCCAACTGATGTCAGGTCTAGGCCCAAATGGAATGCTCATTTCAGGTGTAGGCCCGCCGCCATACTGAGCCGTGGACCATTTGATGATACCTAGGTACAAAGAAGTGGCCCACCCTGTTCACCCATTGCCAAAGTCGTCGCTATGTTGTCCTTTCTCTGACGACGGCTAGCATTTTCAGCATTGTGGTGAAAGTCAATTGTACGTTAATTAGGTACGTTAATATATATATATATATAAGAGCAATAGCACCTAATTAACATATATGAGCAATAGCACCTAATTAACATGCAATTCTGTGCAATATGCACACAATTGCACGTTAATGCCACTCACCAGTCACTACCATGATATAAGTATGATACAATAACGTAATGTAATGAAGCAATATATAAAGTGGAGCCCACATTTGGTGGTTTGGTATGTACACACCAGCAGAGCAGTCCGTGATGGCGGGCTGAATTAATTGTCATTTTCCTTCCCTCCTTCCTAGATATTTCTTGCTTGCCTGTTTATGTTCGTTTCTCTAATGACTGTTACATTATTCGTCGTCACCTTTTATAATAATATTTCAAACTTATGTACACGGATCAAACAAGATATTTCTCATTTCATACACTAGGCGTGAAGGTCAAACTACATCTAACCTTTCTTTATCATATTTTATTTTATTACTATATCCTCATCATCTAGAAGACGCATTTCGTGGATTAATTCAAACATATAATCGACCCCAGTTGATAAATTTAACGCTTCTTTGACTCTAACACAGATTGCCGGTTATTTCCAATTGTGAACGTGTTAACTCACCGAGTTATGAGTTAGATTATATTTAAAAAGTTCTATATTTATTTATTTTTTTTGCTATTTTTGTTTCACTCTTGACCCTATAAGGTTAAAAAAAAGTTATTATAACAAGTGGGAAAAATTATCACACAAAGCCGAACTTTGAAAGATGTAACAAAAAAAAAAAATTGTGGGAATTTATTCAATTTTTTGTTAATAAGATCGGAACTCACCTGGTTGAGTGAACCTAACCCAACGAATCCTTAAATTGATTTTAGCCCAGTGGGGCAGTGGGTGGAGCTGTAGTGGGGACCACATGACAGAAGCTTCTGTTACTCGGTCAAAGTCTAACAAACACGTTTTTCGAATTTCATGTCTACACTTATGGCGTGTTTGTGAGTATTATATATACATCCACACTTCAGCTCCAAAAACACACAACAACCTTGTACCATTCATTCTATAGAGAAACAAAAGCCAAAAAGAAAAACACACAAACCAAGCTCCTTTTTGAATTTAGGCATGGAAGGAAAAAGAAGCAGCAGGAAATGTTTGGCATACGTCGCAATCTTCGTTGTGTTCCAGACCGCAGTGATATTGGTGTTTGCCCTTACAGTGATGAAAATCAAGAGTCCGAAAGTCCGGTTCGGCTCCATCACCATCGACAATATCAGCTCAACCAACACCAATTCGACTTCTGTCAGCATGAGACTGAATACCCAATTCACGGTGAAGAACACAAACTTCGGTCACTTCAAATATGACAACAGCACGGTGACGGTCATGTATGGTGGCATGGCTGTCGGCGAGGCGGCTATCCCCAGTGGGCGTGCCAAGGCTAGGCAAACCAAGAGGTTCGACATTGCTTTGGACATCTCTACTGCTCACCTCTCCGGCAATACCAACCTTGCCAACGACATCAATTCCGGGATTCTGACGCTCACCAGCCAGTCCAAGTTGAGCGGGAAGGTGCATTTGATGAAGGTGATCAAGAAGAAGAAGTCTGGGGAAATGAGTTGCACCATTGCAATCAATTTGACGAACAAGGGTGTGGGTTTGAAGTGCAAGTGACATGTTTCATTTTGATGATTTAGGGGTTAGATTTGTAATTTTTATTTTTATTTTCACAGTCTGGTTTTATGTTTTTTTCAGGGGAACAATATGGCCTCTCAGGCTGTATTAGTCCCTGAGATTATGTGTTTATTCTTTGTAGTGTGGTTTTCTTTTTCAATTTAAATTGAGACTGTTTCTATATCTCTTATTATGCACTACATAACCAAAACCCAAATTCCTATGGTGGTGTCCATACTCTGTTTTTGTGAACAATTGGATAATCCCTAAAACTCCCTTGATTATTAGCAAAGAAAATAAAATAAAAGGAAGATAAAATTATATTAGGACCTTGAATGGTGGTTATAGGGGCAGAGTCAAAGGTGTTTAGCCGGACCAATTAGTTTAAAATTAAGCTTCTGCAGATCAAAACTGGTTTTGAACAAATTTCAAAGTAAAATAATTAAGATGTTTCGAGTGTTAAGAAGAACCCAACACTCTAGGCAAAGCAAGGATCTTGGAGACCATTTCTTTTTTTTGGCAGTCACATGATTTACTCAGTTTTGCGATTCGTCAAAAATATTCGAAATACTACTTATTATTGTCTCTACTAATAGCAACGATTTAATTATTCACCAGTGTATGACTTTTTTCACTTAATTTTGAAAGGTAAGTAACTATGTATAGCTATTTGACTATTTCTCATTCATATATATCGCCCAAAAAAAAATAATAATAAAGGACCCGACCCTCTCTTATTGATTAAAAAAATAACACTAGCCTCCCTTGATAAATAATAACTACTTATATAATTATGTTTATGAGTTTAAACTTTCCAACACCATTAATTTTCTAAATCTAAAGAAATTATTAAATAATCCTGAACCACTCGCAAAGTACTATCATGCCAATGACTCCATAGTGGTGAATTGCCACGCCCACTTAAATTTTTTCTAATTACAATTTTGAAAATGTCTCCACTCAATTAAGAAAAATACCATATTTCATATTATTGTCTCTACTAATTTTTTTGGATCTAAAAAATAATAATCTCTCTTTTTCACTCTTTATAGTCTGCCACATTCATGGTAATCAATTTTCTCTCACACACATTTATATTCCCACTCAATTTTTGAAAATATCGGTTATGTATTCTTACATCCATTAATATTTTTATATTCAAAACAAAGTAAAATAAATGGACTCTATTATTTCTACAATCTCCACCACTCCATTCAGGGTAATCAATTTTCTCTCTCACACTCATTTTTCCACTCAAAAGTAAAATAAATCAGCTCTATTATTTCTTCATTCTCTACCATTCCAGATTCATGATAATTTAAGAAGTACGAACGTGACCAAACAGTCAAAGAATTTGGGTCTCACATGTATTGGACACGACCTAAGTTGGGCCTCTAGGCTGGTCCAGAAGCCAATGGATTCAAATCCTTTGTACAAAAATGTATTAAATATAGAATTCTGATTAGGTGGTGTTAATTAAAATATCTAGTATGTAGTCCTATTTCTTTGAACAAACCAGCGCTGACGCCTATCACGAAAGATTCAGGTCTGTGAGCTTTTATTAAAAAATTCAACCACTGGGAATCTAACACATTCCATACACCTTTTTAAAAAAAAAAAAATCGAATTCCATACACCTAACATGCATACAAACATACACCTTTCTTTCACCTTATTATTATATTCCATGCAACTCTCTCTCAATTGCTGTATCCATGTGGATGCCAATAGCACAACAACATAAAACAAGCTTCTGTTACCATTTAATTTGCAGTATTATTCAAAGACGAAAACACGTTTCGAATCGTCAATAAAAAAATAAAATAAAAAAAAGAAGTTGGCACACCTTTGATGTCTACACCAGGTCAATTATGGTTCGTTCATCACTAATTGTATCAATGCACAAATGCTATACAAACCAACGTACAAAATGCCACTAGTTTCTTATTTCTTATAACACCCCAAGACCTTAGCCATGTCTAAAGGCGAGGGAAATCAGAAGAAGAAAAAATGGTTGGCATACATTGCAATCTTCGTTGTGTTCCAGACTGCAGTCATCTTAATTAGTCTTTGCCCTCACCGTTATGAAAATCAAAAGTTCGGTTTGGTTCTGTCACCGTCGAGAATTTCAGCCCAAGCACCACCAATTCAGCTTCTTTCAACATGAGATTGAATACCCAATTCGCAGTGAAGAACACAAACTTTGGTCACTTCAAATATGTCAACAGCACGGTGGCTATCTTGTATGGTGGCATACCCATTAGTCACTTCAAACTCTGGTTTGGTTCTGTCACCGTTGAGAATTTCAGCCCAAGCACCACCAATTCAGCCTCTTTCAACATGAGATTGAATACCCAATTCGCAGTGAAGAACACAAACTTTGGTCACTTCAAATATGTCAACAGCACGGTGGCTATCTTGTATGGTGGCATACCCGTTAGTGAGGCCGATATCCCTGGGGCCGTGCCAGGGCTAGGCAAACCAAAAAGTGTTAGGTTTATTTCCTTCTATATGGATAAAAGTTCAAGTAGATTTTATTAAAGCCTAAAGCCCAGCCCTTTAGGGTGAATAACCCTAAGGAAGTCAGAATAAAATGGTAGGAGAGATCAGCCGTAGCTTACACAAAAGAAAGAGAGAAGAAAGTAATTTTTCTTCACACTGTCCAGATTTCATCAAACCTCTGATTCCGCTTCTTCCGTGGTCCGATCGGCTGACATTTGGAGGAGAGGTTCATGACTCAATGAGTTAAAATCTGAACGGTGGAGATCGGATTTTGAGCTCGGGAACAGTGATTCGTGCTCGTGAACAGTAACCGAATTTATAATACTTTCTTTCCAATTTTCTTTGTTTTTGCCAAGATTGATGATATCTTGATGAGATGTATTGTAATCTCTAATTGTTATTAGAGAAGACTTTGTGTACCCATTATTTGGTTGATAGTGGAGATTTCAACTGGACTAGGTCCCGTGATTTTTGTTCCTCACACTAGGGAAATTTTTCACATAAAAAATTATTTGTGTTCTTGTGGTTTAGTGTGATTGATTTTCTTTTCTATTACTTTCAGCACATATAAAATTAGAGATACACTATATTTGCTTGCATATAGGGAGAAGAGTTATTTCGCTATATTTGTTTATTGTTATCTCTCCCAACAAAAAGTTCAGCATGGCATTGGACATCACTTCTGATCAGTTTTCAGGCAATACCAACCTTGCCAATGACATAAATTCCGGGGTTCTGATGCTGACCAGCCAGTCCAGGTTGAACGGAAAGGTGCATTTGATGAAGGTGATCAAGAGAAGAAGAAGTCTGGTGAAATGAGCTGCACCATTGCAATCAATTTGGCCACTAAGGCTGTGGATTTGAAGTGCAAGTGAAAATTTTAAATTTGGTTAATTCTTTTTGCTTTTCAGGGCTTGGATTTAATTATAGTGATATCTTTGTTTTCATTTTGCAATTGGGTTCTAATTTTCCAGGGCACAATATGGACTATGTTAGTCCTTCATATGCCTATTATTTGTAGTGTATCTGTCTATATATATATATATATATATATATATATATATATATATATATCTATCTAAACCCCAATTCAAAATATTGTGTGGATGGTACCAAAGCCATACTTGTCTTTGACCTAGAGTTAGTCACTTAGTCCGGTAACAGAGAGAAACAATATCAAGTTAAAAACTCTGTTTCATGTCAACATTTCGTTATATCCCTGGCTAAAAGTATTAACAATGTCCATTAATAATTGGAAAAGAAAATGGAAGGAGTCTTTGAATGTTTAGCGGCAAACTCAAAGGTTGTTTGGCGGACAATTAATTTAGCATTGAGCTTCTAGAGAACCAACACTGGTATTCATTAAACACCTTTTTTTATTTTATTTTATTTTTTACCATTTGTATAGGAAAAGGACCTGGCAAATGATCCACTCTCTTTTGGCATTTTTCAAATTTTAGTCATATAATTCACTATTTGACAAAGGTGTAAGTCATCTAAACTATTAGCCAATCAGCAATAAACCCCCCTGAACTTCAAAATTTTCAAAAAACCCCCCTGAACTATAATTTTTGTTGCAGATAGCTCCATCCGGCGACCGGCCGGTTGAATTTCGCCGTTAAAACCATCACATGCAGTCACGTGATCACACAATATATACCTAATGGCCATAATGCCCTTATGAGCATAAAAGACTATATTACCCTTATTATGAACATTACACCCAAACACATCCTTAGTTTACTGTTACACCCAATTACCCAAACACACCCTCATCACTTTATATATATTACATGTAGAGAGAGAGAGTTACAAACACTGTTTATCTTCTTCATCAAACCCAACTGCAAGATGGTAGTAAGTTTCTTTCCCTGTGATGCCTGCACTACGAATTTAAGGAGGAAACAAGAGAGCATATAGTTTTCAAACCCTCAATTTGAGAACTGGGTTTACAAGGACTCATCAACATTGTGTTTTTACACTACATGATTTGAGTCAAAGTGACCTCCATATCATCTAAAGGATCAAAGTTCCAATTAGCTGTTGGGTTACAGTTCATTGATATTATATATATATATATATATATATATATAAATTCTAATGGTGTATTATAACCAATTCAACTTCTCCATTAAAGCTTACAAATTTTTTTCTATTGTGATGAATCTGCTGATCGATTAAATGGTCTATACCAGTCCAATCAAATACTTAAAAAGTTAAATTTTTTGAAATCTTTCTAACAATATGTACTGGGTTTGTTTAAAATAACAAAGTTGCAGAGGTTTGTTTAAATTTATTTATTTTCTTATTTTTTTTAATAATTTGTACTGGGTTTGTTTTGTTCCTACACCCACAATCATACCCATACCAGATTGCAACAGCTCCAAGCCTCCAATAAACAAACCACTGCCAGATATTGATTTTTCCATACCCGGCTTCAAACTCTATGGCCATCGGTGGGAAGCTCTGAGTATCACCGGCCCAACCGAAGATGAAGACATGTGCAGAGTTACAACGACCCATCCAGTCCGGCGAGCTCCGAGCAGCAGCAGCGTCCATTGAAGCCGGCGAGCTCCGAATCGAAGCTGTATGAACTGAACTAGAGTTCCATTGAAGACCCAACTGATACCTCCATATAGACGGCGACCAAACCTGAAGAGCATCAACATTCAATCAATTAGAAAAGCTTCAGCGACCTTTATCAGAAAAGCTTCAACGACCTTTATCGGAAAAGCTTCAGGGAACCACAAGATTGCGTTTGCGACAGACCCAGAACCTTCAGCGATTAACTCCGGCTACCCCAAGTTTTAGATGACTTGCATCGGAGAGCTGAAGCGACCCACCAATTCGCGAATGAAGAGATGAACCAGCCGAGCTCACCGCCGTTCCTCCGGCCGATCCTCATCGTCGTCCCCGCGGCTGCAGTACTTTCCCCTTCTGGGTTTGTAGAGGCATATATGATATACCATATATATGCATAATATATCCCAGTACTCTGTTTGGCTACTAGTGTAGCACTATCCTAGGTCATAGTAAGGGCGGAATTGTCTTTTGCCTTTTCTGGTGACCTGAAGGGGTGAATTGCAACAAAACAATAGTTTAGGGGGATTTTTTACATTTAACCCAAAAATGAATAAATGGAATTGACTCCTCTCACTTATTTACTTCAAATAAACAAGAGTATTATATATCTCAAAATTTGAAATTCAAAAAATAAAATAAAATAGAATAAGGAAATTTGTTAATTTGTCATGATATTTCAATTTTAAGCACGTTAATGACATTTTTTGGTTAGCTAAGAATAAAATAATCACAGGCACTGCAAATTTGTTTACCACACTGAGAATGAATTAGATGAATTGCACAAAAGAACGAGTGATCATTGTTTATGATCCTAAAAAGTGGCCAAATTACATAACATTTGGGCTACGGCTAAGTTGATCTCCTTGTGCAGACTACAACATGAGAATTCATTCAAAGAAGAAACAGGACAAATTAACCAAATGACTTGCAGTAACCAAAAAGTAACTCACTTGTGAGAACTATGAGATTTTTTATTTTATTTTTTTTCTAAAATTTTCTTCTTCAAAGTTTAAACAAACACACACAGTCACAGTATTGTGCCCAGTTAAAATCAGAGAATTTTATAATTTACTTAATAATACATTTGATTTTCTAACAGCAAAATTAAATAAATAGATAGAAGAACCACAGAGAAAAACCTAATGTAGTACCTCCAAATTAAACGTACTTGCCTCGTTCTCCATTCCATGAGACAGTTTTATATAGCAAACTTGATAAATTTACCCAACATGCATGCCACAAGTAACAGAGGCCAACTCAATATAGTACTGTACATCCCAAAACAGTGGAATATATCTAGAACATACGTAAAATAATCAGTTGAAAAGGGCATGCATTTTATCTTTTGGTGAGACTGCCACGTGTTATTTCACTATTTCTACTAGTTAAAATATTTATTTATTGATTGATTAAAAAATAACCTTGAGAAAAAAAAAAAATGATAATAATAAAATAAAAAATAACCGCCCACCACAACTGCCCGAGTCGCTAAGCTCTTAAACATTCAACATCAGGTCAAAATTAGCCCATTCCACCTTCAACACATATATATACATACCCCTTCATCTTACCTTCATATATATAGAGAGAGATAGATTATAGACACATACACCTAATAACTTACTCGTGAGGGTTTCCTTTCATTCTCATCTCTATCCATCCATATATATATATACACATACATATATTCACAAGATACCAGGAAGAGAATTCTGAGACACCCTTTTGAGTTGTGATACACACCCTCCAACTCTCTCTCTGTCTCTGATCTCTCTCTACACATATACACCAAAAACAATGGAGGAAGAGAGTCATGTTTATCCATTGGCACCAGCACGAATCCATCAGAGGAGTGACGAAGAGTTCGCCGCCACAAAACCTGATCTTGATCTCCACAAGAAGGAGAAAAGAAGCAGTAAGTGTTTGGTGTACGTCCTGGTGGCTATTGTGTTGCACACCATAGCACTATTGGTTTTCGGATTAGCCGTATTGCGAATCAATTCCCCGAAAGCAAGCCTGAGCTCTGTTTCAATCAAAACCCTCACATATGTCACCGGACAATCACCTTCTTTCAACGGCACAGTGACCGGTGTGATGAGAGTGAAGAATGAAAACTTTGGTAGCTTCAAATTCGAGAACAGCTTTAAGGTGATTGTTTTGTACGGAAATGTGACCGTTGGTGACATGAAAATCGATAGGAGGAGTGTTGGGGGTAGAAAGACAGAGCATGTGAATGTTAGTGTTGAAGTGAGGTCTAGTGGGGAATTATTGGGTGATGAGAGTTTTAGGAGTGATATGAATTCTGGGTTGTTGAACCTGATCAGCTATGCCAAGTTGAGAGGTGAAGTGCGTGTGATGAATTTGATCAAGAGCCGTAGAACAGTGGAAATGAATTGCAGTATGAGTCTTGATTTCACGAACAGAGCAGTTCAGGATTTGCTATGCATGTGATTCTTTTTTCTCTCTCTCTTTTTTTCATTTGGAAATTCATTTATTGAGTTGTTTGTAATATTGATTTTTGTATGAAATAGTGAGATTATTTACGTTAATTCCAGAATATTCATTTCTAGTAGGGAACTTATATATGCAATATGAACATATATATGGCAAAAGTGCAAACAACCTCCTCAACTATCACAAATCGGCATTTTACCTTTTTGTATTACAAAAATAAACAAGTTAGTACCACCACAACTATCACAAATCGTGCAAATTAACCCATGAAACTCAATTCCGGCCACTTTCCGGCCCACAAGGTCAGCACGTGACTGTTCTTTTCTTTTAATTCCGAAATTGTCCTGAAAAATTACCATTGTAACCCTTTGCCTGTAAATGAACCCATTTGTTCAATTTCCTTTTTCCATCTGGCCTCTAATCTGCTCCACCTTTACACTAAACACTCAGACAAATTTGAAGAACAAAGTTTGAGGTAAGATATACATATATATATGTGTGTGTGTGTGTTTGATAATACTCCAAAACTATCAGTACCGGAGCATAGTTGATAAAATCTTCGTGTATTTCAAGTACAAATTGGATCAAAAACTTTATGTGAATTTTAATGGAATTATTTCGTTTATGTTTTGCTTCGGTTCGACTTTGATCTTTCAAGAGTGTTCAATTTTTCGATTTGTGGTTTTGATCAGTTATTGAATTTCAATTTAGGGTTTTTGTTTTGATTATTAAACCTCAATGATTCTATATGCATGTAAATCACAAGCTAGTATTTGATGATTCAAGTGTTGCCTTATAAAATATTGGAGATTTAGATGATCCAATCATGGTTATTGTTTATTAGTAAAGAGTTTTCCGGATTTGGGTTTTAACTGGAGGTTGAATTGTATACTCATTTTTGATGACTTCCATTGTTTTTTGCATTCATGGTTAATTTTCTATATTTTGGTTGTTATTTTCTAGATTTTAGATTTTAGTTGTAGGTTTATTCTAGATTGTAGTTGTCATTTTCCTCTTATTATTGTAGTGTAACTTACTCTATGAATGGCATGCCCTTTCACTTTTCAATCTCACTGTTTTAGTTACTGTGTTTCAGTCCTTACTCCTTGCCCAAGTGATTTACTGTTGTCTGGGTCATAAGTATGTGAGTGGGAAAAGTGTATATCACATGAGAGGCATTGAGAGTATTTCATGCTTATTATTTATTTTCGTTTTTTTTTTTTTCTTCTTAATTACGATAGGTAGTTTTGTAAATCTACAATGAGGTCGGCCGGAAGGTTGCCGAAATTGCGTTTTAGGGGTTAATTTGCAAGATTTGGATAGTTGTGGTACCTACTTGTTTGATTTTGTAATCCAAGAGAATAAAATGCCGATTTGTGATAGTTCAGGAGAGTTGTTTGCAATTTTGCCTATATATATATATACACACACATAGGTACATACATATATTCTTTGTTTTTTTTTGGTCATTTCGCCATCAAGGTGTATGAATTATATTTTTGGTGAATTAGTCAAAACAGTTGAAGTTCAATAATGTTTCCACACCAAAAACTTCAAGTCCTAATCGAGTTACTTAATGGAGAGGGGCATTGATTTAAAATAATAATAATAATAATAATGAAGAAAGTGAATTAAGGAGAAATCCTTGTACATCAACGTACGCACTTTAATTTTACTTTTAATATTCCTAGATTCCGACTCTGTTCAATTAATTAAAATTAACTATTTATTTATACATATTAATTACATTTATAATGTGACACATCCGATCAATTGCAGGACTTATTCAATTTAGGTATTCTTTTCCATTCATCCACAGTAATTACTATCAATTAAAAATATATATATATTCCTGTCATTCATCAAAAGTTTAAAACTAATATAATTTTTTTTTTTCTTATACAAGCAAAGAAGATCAAAACTATATTAATTAAAGGCGTTTAAAACTTCTTATAATCAAATAACTTTGTTTAATTTTCTCACCTATTGCTTGTACACTACGGAAAAACAACAGTCCAATGAATCTTGTCGATCGTTGCTAGCTTCTTCGTGGTCCTATGAAGTTATGGGACCCACTTGCCGACCTGTATGACGAGCCATCTCAATCAAATAATACAAGGATTAATTTTCATATAATAACAACTGTAAAATTAAAAAAGTCAATTAATTAATGGGTTTAATTATTTTTGGATCATACGTATTGTACGACCAATTATTTCCCACCTCTGCTCCAATCAACTTGACTACTACTTGTTTCAAAATTAAGAGGAGTCATTATTTAGTTTTCATCATTATTAATTAGTCGAGGGTTAGTTTTTCACTTTAAAAAGTAATTTGTCTAAAATGTTAAGTTTGACAATATGGAATAGGGTACCAACTCTCGTTTAGAGGGGTGATCTTATCTGTATAAGCATTCCCATTGAATAAAACGGACTTGAAAAAAAAAAAAATTGGCAATAAACAAACTCACATTGCCCTTAAGATGATTTAAATTCTCAGCTTTTTACTTTAGATTATTAATTATAAGTACCACTAAAATACAGTCTTTTTTTTAATATTTTTTTTTATAATATATATATATAGAGAGAGAGAGAGAGAGAGAGGGGGAGAGACCCAATATATATATATAGAGAGACCCAATGTTAAATAAATATCATGCTATGTAAACTATCAATAATTATCTCACGAATTTTGTAAGCAACTTTTTAAAATTAGAATTTATTTATTTATTCATTTATTTATTGCTAAAGTTATATAACAAATAACATAGTGAATAATTGCTAAAATCTGAGGTTCAATTTATGTGGTGAATTTTTATCCTATTATTATTAAAAAAAAAAAAAAAGGATCCGAAGTTTAGGATATAATATCAGGAATGATGTACGAGTTTTGATTAGAGAAATGTTTTATTGTTCATGTTGAATTAATGACATTGTATTACTAATTTATTAAATACTAACACACCGTAATAGTAACTTATGATGTGATAAAATATAATTGGTTAATGACATAGATGACGTAATATCACTGGTGTATGAAAGTTTTTTTTTTTTTAATTGATCACAAAATATAAGGAATTTGGACACTCTACTTTCTTATATTTGATAAAAATGATTAATCAAAACTTATAAATCAAACAAGAATTCAACCCAAATATTACTTCTCATTAAATAATGAAACCATGTTAATTTTGAGAAGTCCTAAAATAGATTGTGTCACCGACTACATATAAGTGACGATAATCTTTAATTTCCGAGCAACAATATCCATAACATATCTTCATGTGAGATTTATAGGGTATGTTTGGAAAGTGTTATGGTATTATTTTTCTGATATTGGTATTTAAGTTTCGGCTCATATTATGTTTGTAATAATTAATATTAGTTTGAAATAATTTATAACATATCAAATTTTTTTGACCAAAACCCATATCATCAAATTGGTGATATTGTGTGTTTTGATATGGGAAAGTAAAACAAATTTCTGAATTTTTTAAAATAAAATTTTCATTACCTGATTTTAAATTCTACCTAAAATACTCCTATAACAAGATGAGTATTTTGATATTACATAACGTCTTTAACACATTCCGTGTCTAACTAGGATTTAAATATGGGGTAACTTACTTTTTAAAAGTATATATATATATATATATATAACAGGTTTATTTAGATGCAATGCAAACTAAAGTCTTTGAAGTTGGAAGTCTATATAATAAGGTAAAATGGCCAACAGAACAACTGAATGGATGCGTGGAATGGCATTAGCATGGTAGTAGAACCTTTTTAGCCCCAACCCTCCCACAAGGTGACAAAATGAATCTCCAAAATTTATCAATTTGCGAGCCCCAACTTCAATGACTTCACGATTTCCCATATGATTAGACCACAGAGAGAGATATTACTCCCTCTCCTAAAATACTCGTCCATTTTTTTATTTTAAAATATTTCAAAAAATGTTTCATTCTAAAATTAAATGTGCCTGTTTTTTATAATATTTTCAAAATATCTTTTTAAATAAATAACTGTACTAATTACGGTCGGTATGGCCACAATACAATACAAAATTATTAAAACTCTACTGCTATAAAAAGCTGAACTCCACACCGCTGAACTTGTATTGCAACCTTATGAGTTGGTTTCTATTTGGCCCACCATTTGTACATTTTATTCATATATAAAACTTCCTTTATTTTATTTTTTTTCAAAAAATAAAACAAATAAAAATTGAATTTCCCAATAAATGTATTTTGGGAGAGTGGGAGTACATAACTAACTTCAAAAAATAAAGCAAATAAAAATTGAATTCCCCAATACATGTATTTTGGGAGAGCGGGAGTATATAACTAACTTGTGAGGGTTTCGTTTCATTCACCTCTTTATCCATCCATATATATATATATATATATACACACACATACATGTATTCACAAGAAACCAGGAAAAAAATTCTGAGACACCCTTTTTAGTTGTGACACACACCTCCTACTCTCTGTCTCTCCCTCTGATCTCTCTCTACTCATATACACCAAAAACAATGGAGGAAGAGAGTCATGTTTATCCATTGGTACCAGCACGAATCCATCAGAGGAGTGACGAAGAGTTCGCCGCCACAAAACCTGATCTTGATCTCCACAAGAAGCAGAAAAGAAGCAGCAAGTGTTTGGTGCACGTCCTGGTGGCTATTGCGTTGCACACCATAGCACTATTGGTTTTCGGATTAGCCGTATTGCGAATCAATTCCCCAAAAGCAAGCCTGAGCTCTGTTTCAATCAAAACCCTCACATATATCTCCGGACAATCACCTTCTTTCAACGGCACAATGACCGGTGTGATGAGAGTGAAGAATGAAAGCTTTGGTAGCTTCAAATTTGAGAACAGCTTTAAGGTCATTGTTTTGTAAGGAAATGTGACGGTTGGTGACATAAAAATCGATAGAGGAGTGTTGGGGGTAGAAAGACAGAGCATGTGAATGTTAGTGTTTGAAGTGAGGTCTAGTGGGGAATTATTGGGTGAGGAGAGTTTTAGGAGTGATATGAATTCTGGGTTGTTGAACCTGATCAGCTATGCCAAGTTGAGAGGTGAAGTGCGTGTGA